ACTACTACTAGCTACTAGGTACTAGCTTCTTACTTCTAACTACTAATTACTCGCTTCTGCTACCTGCTACTAGCTACCAACTACTAACTACTAGCTACTAAGTGCTAACTGCCTACCCTACTAAGTACGAAGACGAACGACGAACTACCCACTACCAACTACTCCTGACTGCGAACTACTATCTACTGACCAGCGAGTACTACTGACTGCTACCTACTAACTGCTACTCTTGCTGCTGCTGCTGCTGCTGCTGCTGCTATCGTAGTGCAGTAATCCTTCAGTCCTCAGGAGGGCAAGCGATGCCTTGACATGAATGTGCCCCAGGACCACCATCGAGAGTGCCAGGGTTGCGGGGACGCTAGCCTCAGAAGAATGACATGAGACAATGCCCGCAGGAACACATGGTGATGACCATAATCATGACGATGATGATCCTGCTGCAGAAGATGGGGATGATTACCGCACTTGCTGATGTTATGAAGGCAATGACGTGACGATTACCATCAAGGTGCTGTTGAGGGTGTGGAGTAAGGACATAGCTTGAGCTGTCTTTCTGCCCTGTTGCAGGAGCGTCCTGCTGAAACGAGGCGAGGCCCTGAAGCGTCTCTGCAGTCTGCAGCAGCGGGAGCGCGCGCTATCGGAAGGATAGAACGCTTCTGAAGCTGTGCTCACAGAGTGTTACATGCCGCAGGCACACTCGCATGGGCCTCGAACCGATTGGTGACATCGTGGCTTGGCGGTAAGGGCTGGGAACCCTTCAGCCCACGTCCACACTCGAAGGGTTGCACACACACACACACAAATGGACCCGAAGCTTCATGCCCAAGTCTCTTCCTGCGTTTTCTCTGGGTTTTTGCTGGCGACTTCGTTTCGCTCACCATGTGGGCCGCTGCAGTCGGTGTTCGCGGCTTCACCTTCCGAGATGCCCAGCATGCGCTCCAGGCGAGGGGTACCTGAAATGCTTGGATGGGGGGCTGTACCTGCATGTGTTGCTTGAGGGCATAGGCCGCTCCGTCCGGAGGACTCTCGAGGAGTCAGAGCTTGGTTTTCAAGAAGTAGAGCCCCTTCGCAGCAGCTACTGCGGACGTGTGGAACCTGATCACCAAGTTTGAGCCTGTCCTTTTACGTGTGCCTGCACATTTGAGAAAGCTCAGGAGCACCACCTATGTCGTGGACGCTTGCAGCCTAGACTTCTTAGGAGTGACATGTGGCCGGCCTCACGAGTCAATCTTCGACTTCTGCCCGCGCAGAAAGCGTCAAAGCTCTCAGACACTTGAGAGCCGCCCAGCAACTGCTCAAAGAGTGTAACCGTCTGCCAAGGTCGTGGTTGGTGAGGAGCGCTGCTGCCTGCACACTCGTACTAGTATGTTGTATTTTGAGCAGATGATCACAACGAGGGCCACCGCAGACAAAGCTGCCAACAAGTTCTGGGCTTGTGCTATGCCTGGCAGGAGGCAGTAGGTCTGGGCCTCCTCCTGGACGTTGACGATGATCGAGCGGCTGTCGCGCATGTTCGGCCAGGCCAGGTGCATAGCTGGGCCCTGGGCCTTACTAGTAGCCTTTGGGCCCCCGGCAAGAGCTCAGAAACCGTCTGTTAGTACCCAAGGCAGTCTGCTCCACCGATGGAATCTCAGGCCTGTGGTGTGCAGTGTGCCATTGTGCCTGTGTAGCTTCAACAGGTCAGCATTGCCCGAAAAAACAGATAGGCAATTTGAAAGAAGAAGAAGCGGAGAGTGGATGTTTGACGGAGGTGTGCACAAGAACAAATTGCGGCGGTCTCAGCTGCTGCGCAGCAGCGATGAATTGTCTGCTGCAGAGTCAACCCTAAACCCTAAACCCTAAACCCCAAGCCCTAAACCTGGAGGTCAGAAGAGGCGATCTTCTGCTTGCAGTGGATGGAGAGACGAAGCACGGGGGCTTAGTGCAGAAATCAGTCCGTGATTGCTTGGGGCACGTTTCCGGAGTTCCAAGAGCGGGGCGGCGAAGCCTCGCAGAAGTTCGTGAAGTAACTCTGGGTCCTGTCTCAGGCAGTGATCAAAAACTCTTCCCGAGACTTTCTGGGGTCGCCTCTGAAGGAACTGCCCCTTTCTTGTGGTGGAGCAGTTTTTGAGAGTTTCAAGATTTTGTGAGTTACCCACTCCATCCCACGCCCCCCCAGCCAGCCCCCTGCAAGCTCCTAAAATCCTGAGCTCCAAAAGAATCCTTCTCCACCTCTAGATCTTTAACGAAGCCCCTGTGGACCCGATGGAACCACAAAAAGCCCCCCGTCCGGAGTCCCTGGCCTGGTGCCCCGAGGTCACCTTTAGAGCTGGTCTCTTCAATGCACCATCGAGCACCCGGCCTGCTGAGGCAAATGGAAAGCACGCGTTACCTGCTCTTCGCAGAAGCCTGCTGCTGCTGCTGCTGCTGTTGGTGCTGCTGCTGCTACCAATACTACTACTATCACTACCACTCCTCCCGCTCCGCCTCCTCCGCCTCCTCCTCCTGCTCCTACTCCTACTGCTGCTGCTACTCTTCCTCGTCTTCGTCATCGTCGTAGTTGTAGAAGTAGTCGTCGTCATCGTAGTGGTAGTGGCAGTCGTCGTCGTTGTCGTCGTCGTCGTCGCCGTCATGGGTGGTGGCGGTGGTGGTGGTCGTGGTGGTGGTGGTTGGTCGTGGTGGTTGTGGTGGAGTTCGGTTTTGAAGTAGTTAGGCTGTCGTTCTCGCCAGCCTTGTGCAGGCTGACCTTCGCGTTTGCTCAGCGCAGGGAGCTGAGCTGGGCAAGTGAGGCATCTTAAAAAGTATCTTCAAAAAAAGCTTGGACAGGCTGGGATCATGAAGCATCATCGTGCCAAGTCGACAGCATTTGTCGTGTCTTATGCTGGAAGTTTGTTTCAGTTGGAAGACCTAGCTGGACTAAGTCTAGTTCTAAGTCTAAGTCGTGATGGGATGCCCGACCTGCCTGAAGCGGCGCAGCTTTCAGGTGCAGATCAGCTGCCCCAAGAGGGACCGCTACGGCCTCCAAACTATGAGGCTTTGGGCCTCAGCAGTTGACCTGACTTTGAGGGTGCAGCTTCCGCCGCTTTACTCCCAGGCTGATTCCGTGCTGGTGCGCGTCGACTGCGGCGGCTTGTTCACAGTTCAGAGTTGCTTGCGCCCATGCCTTCGGAGATAATTTGCTTAGACTGCTTCCACCTCCTTTGGCACGGGTGCTTTGGGGGTCGTGCGGCCGTATCTCAAGAAGAGAACTGTCCTGGAAGCCTGCGAAGGTCCAGACGCACCGGAGGAAGACACTTGCCCGGGTGAGCCACATAGGATGGTGCTTTAGAGTCCGATCTGAGGACGTTTCAAGAGTTCCAACTCCGACGTCCGAAGGGTTGCGCCTTTTTGGGGGCAGATCCTGCATGGCAGAGAAGGGCATTCTGCAGCTCCAGACAGTTTCTAATTCTGCGCAAGTGCAAGAGAATTTCGGACCGGACGGGTGCAAGTTTCACCAAGGCTTCAAACGCAGTTCGCAGAAGACGGTGGAATTGAGCCGTAAGCCATTGGCCAAAATCTCTTGTCTTACAGCTACCCCCGTTTCTTTCTTCGGACTGTGTTCTCGAAGGCTTGCAACGATTTGTCCTTAGCTAGCCTGGGGCGAAGGTGCCAGGCTGTCAACTCTTGCAACAGGTTACAAGTGGGGGATGAGCTCTCAACTCTAAGCTGTCTAAGCTGTTGGGTACCATGTGTGCTTCTGGTATGCTCTGTTCGTTTGAGGCGATTCCCAGAGCGACATGGGCCCTTGGAGAGGGCCAGGCCCCCCTTGCGCGCGTTCTTGAGCCCTTGGACCTCCAAAGCCGCAGCTGAGCGCGAAATGCGACACCCCAGGTGATGCGGGCGAGTCTCATCCTCTCTGGCTTCTGGCATGAGAGGTTTTAGGGATTACCGGTGACAGCCCTCTACTCCGAGTGTGCCGGAAGAAGGATCTTGCTTCTCGAATCGAAGCCTAAGTCTCCTACGTCGGCCCCGCAAGGCCTGGCCAGAGCTACTCTGAAGAAGCGGTGAGTCGAGGAATGTCGGCGAGGATGAGGTCACCCGGAGCATATTGGGAGCGGAGCCACAAGAAGATGGCAGCGGAGACCAACTCACGCAGCGCGCTCTTCGATGTTCGAAAAGAAAGGCCTGCCGTTGCAGAGGGGGTTGCGGGATAAAGAGAGCCGGGCAACCTACGATCTTCATGCGGACCGGGATGAGTACGTCAGCAACTCCTTCGAGTCCGTCCCGCCCAGCTAAGAAACGTAGCCCTTACAACTCACACGACACAAGGCGCCAAAATAGTCTACACTTACGATTGAACTTGATTGTCAAGCTTGATCTACCATGACTCATTTAAATCTTGAAAGACTCCAAGAACGCACACATCTTCGAACCACTTCCTGGAACGAACCTCCCCTTTGCGGCAGCGGCTGCCCACCCAGCCACAACTTCACTGCAGCAGAATCTCCAGGCCTTCGAAGCGATGCGATCTGCAAGGCTAGAGCCCAACGAGGTCAGGAGCCATGTTGGATGTCGTTTGGAACTTTGAGAGACCTTTTGGTGCCATGCAAGCTACGGCAGCTGGCAATACAGAGAGACAGCGACCTGACAAAAAACACCGCCTGACTGGACAAATTTTGGCATTCCAGGTGACCTACACTGCCCTGCTCCGCTTTGAGCTCAGACTTCGCCGAGATCCAAAAAAGATTTCAAACTCCAGAACTTCTCCCGCCGGGCGCGAGGCGCGCGCATCGCGGCCGGCGACCGGGCCGGTGCCAAGCGCCTCGCCGTGGAGGGAAGGCTCAACGAGGCCAGGAGTGGGCAAAAGGAGGGAGGGGGGTTTTGGGGAACGGGGCCAGACGCCTGTTCTTCTTCTTGCTACATATTTTACAGATTATTATTATTATGACTATAATAATAATAATAATTATTATTATTGCTGTACATATAGATATATTAGAGGGGACCCTGGTTTCCGGGGGGGTTAGAGCGCATGGACATTAACGGGTGGCTGCTTTCTGATGTCTCTTTGGGATAAAGCCAAGCAAGAGGTGGGCTTCACGCTGCTCATCAATGCATACGCCATGCCTTTGCCCGAGGTTATGGGTGTCTCATTCTAGGAGCACAAGCACGGTTCCTGCATCTTGAGACAGGAGGCAGCTGTGCTGAAGTGTGGAATTCTGAAGCAAGGTCGGGCGATGTCCGCGGTGCAAAGGATGCTTTCGAGTTGCTCAGCAAGCAGCGGCAGCCCCAAAAACGCCAGGCCTAGGCCACAAGAGTGGTGAAAGCATTGGCGGCGCTGGGCCGAGGTCGAGGCCCAACCTGGCTTCGTACACTGCCTTGATGAAAGCCTACGCAAAGGCCAGCCGCAGAGTCCGAGGGGGACACGCGCTCTTTTGTGCTTCGGTTCGGACAAGGGTGTTTGTGTGGAACCGCGGCTTCTTTTCAGAAGCTGAAGCTGACAGGCAAGGGATGCACGGGGCGCCGATGAAGTGCTGGCGCAGATTCAAAAGCACAGCCAGGGACTCTGATGCAATGATGGAGCTCTAGCCGGGAAAGCCCCAGTGCCACCTGCTCAGGTCTGCAGCCCAATTCGGCGACCTATGCTACTCTCATATCGGCGCAGGCTAAGGCGGAGCGGCAAGCATGTGACGTGCCTGAAAGAATGTAGTCCGAGACAGCCTTGCTTGTAATCCTTGTAGCATCGGACGAGTGCAGCCAGCCTGAACAGACAGTGGCACCGGTCGTTGGCTGATGTAGACATGCTGCGTTGTGAGGGCGCGGAGGGAGGTCCGAGATGGCAGGCTCAGCAGCTGCTGCGTGCCCTGGAGCTCTTCCGATTGCAGGGAAAGCCACCTGGCCTTGAAGCGAACCCGTCGGGGCACAGCGTCGCTGTCAAGATAAGTAGTTGCGCCGCCTCAGCGGAAGCTGTCTAGCCGAGGCCCACGCTCGCAAGCGGCACAGCTCTCATCTCTGCATACTCCAGGCTGCGAAGCTGCAAAGCTCCTGAAGCGACTTCTTTCGCTGCATGTTTGGTCCTGGTGACTGCACGAGTCATGTTGGGACCTGTGATCCAGGTTGTGTCGAGTTTATACGCATGCTAAACTACGGATGGATTTTGGACGCGAAGACAGATGGAAGGCAGAGGGACTCCGCGGGGGCACAGCGCGTGCTCGACGAGATGCTGTCGGCCTCGATCAGGCCAGACAGCTGTGGCGACTGACATGTCAGGTTACGACAGAGAGCCCTCTAAGAATCCCGTGAATGCTTTCTGCGAGGCCCGATGGCATCTGCATCAAACAGCTGGAGTTCGCCAAACTACGGGCAGCTCCCCGGTCCCAAAAGGATGCCTCGGAGGTCTAGCGGGGATGGTGGGATGGTGGACAACACGGATGGTTTTCTAGTCTGCAAGTTCAGGTGATGTTATCCGAAAAACAGAGCCAGCAGTGCACGCACACGCACACCCACCCACACCCACANNGCATCAAACAGCTGGAGTTCGCCAAAGTGGCAGCTCCCCCGGTCCCAACGGATGCCTCGGAGGTTTAGCGGTCGGATGGTCGGAGGGTGGAGAAAGCGGATCGTTTTCGATCGTCTGCAACTTCAGGTGATGGCATCCGCAAAACTAGCCAGCAGCGCACGCACACGCACGCACACGAACGCACACGCACGCACACGCACGCAC